GTAATTACACGTTGCTTTTTCAGACTCCTATGATGTACACCCAGACACATACACATATATGATGTACACCCAGACACATACACACATATGATGTGAGCCCAGACAAATACACACATATGATGTGCACCCAGAAACATACACATATGCTGTGCACCCAGCCACATACATAGATATGATGTGCATTTAGACACAAACACACATATGATGTGCACCCACACACATACACATGTGATGTGTACCCAGACAAAAACACACATATGATGTGCACATAGACACAACACATGCTTTGTACAATACATGCGAGTGACACAATGTGACAGTTACACAGATAACATATGATTTGTAAACTTTTGAAAGGTATCTATATAACAGATGGTCCATGCATGCTACATTAATATGTCAAACGTAAAGTTTTGTTTCTACCTCTGCTGGGATTTCTATAAAGTTTGGCTTAGCACTTCTGTACACTCTGGCATTCTCCACATTGTAGCAGATGCGAACTTTGTCCTCTTCCTCAAGAAGCCGTTGGAAGAAAACAATAAACATATTTAAAATACAGAATCACCAAGCATAGTGTTTTTGGTCTTCTCACCCACCCATATAACATGCCATATTCTTAAATTAACCCACAGAGAAAGATGACATTAAACCTGGCCACAGAGACAGATGACAGAAAACCTGGCCACAGAGAAAGATGACAAAAACATACAATGTTCTTAAATGAGCCCACAGAGAAAGATGACAAAAACATGCCATGTTCTCAAAACGAACCCACAGAGAAAGATGTCAAAAACATGCCATGTTCTTAAATGAACCCACAGAGAAAGATGACAAAAACATGCCATGTTCTCAAAACGAACCCACAGAGAAAGATGTCAAAAACATGCCATGTTCTTAAATGAACCCACAGAGAAAGATGACAAAAACATGCATTATTCTTAAATGAACCCACAGAGAAAGATGACAAAAACATGCATTATTCTTAAATGAACCCACAGAGAAAGATGACAAAAACATGCCATGTTCTTAAATGAACCCACACAGAAAGATGACAAAAACATGCATTATTCTTAAATGAACCCACAGAGAAAGATGACAAAAACATGCATTATTCTTAAATGAACCAATACAGAAAGATGACAAAAACATGCTTTATTCTTAAATGAAACCACAGAGAGAGATGACAAAAACATGTCATGTTCTTAAATGAACCCACAGAGAAAGATGACTAAAAAAAAAGCCATATTCTTAAATGAACCCACAGAGAAAGATGACAAAAACATGCCTTATTCTTAAATGAACCCACAGAGAAAGATGACAAAAACATGCCATGTTCTTAAATGAAACCACACAGAGAGATGACAAAAACATGTCATGTTCTTAAATTTACCTACAGAGAAAGATGACAAAAACATGCTTTATTCTTAAATGAAACCACAGAGAGAGATGACAAAAACATGTCATGTTCTTAAATGAACCCACAGAGAAAGATGACTAAAAAAAAAGCCATATTCTTAAATGAACCCACAGAGAAAGATGACAAAAACATGCCTTATTCTTAAATGAACCCACAGAGAAAGATGACAAAAACATGCCATGTTCTTAAATGAAACCACACAGAGAGATGACAAAAACATGTCATGTTCTTAAATTTACCTACAGAGAAAGATGACAAAAACATGCCATCTTAAATGAACCCACAGAGAAAGATGACAAAAACATATCATAGTCTTAAATTTACCTACAGTGAAAGATGACAAAAACATGCATCTTAAATGAACCCACAGAGAAAGATGACAAAAACATACAATGTTCTTAAATTTACCTATAGAGAGGGTCAAAAATTGCATAAAAATTGATGACGTAATTAATAAACGCCCCCTTACTTATAGGATGGTTTTACACACGGATGGCGGTCGCTGAACCTACCAGCCGGGCATAATCTCCCCCGCCCTCCCCATAATGTAATAAGGGATAAAGTGCTACATGAATTCACCCCCACACTAACCCCTGCAAGTGATGGAGTGCTGCATTGATAGATGACCCCTCCTCCCCACTGGTGCATTGATACGTGATCTCCTTACCTCAGTGCCTGCAATGGTGCATTGATACGTGATCTTCTTATCTTAGTGTATCCACTGGTGCAATGATGCGTGATCTCCTTATCCCAATGCCTGCGCCGGTGCATTGATGCGTGATCTCCTTATCCCAATGTATGTGCCGTGTATTGATGCATGATCTCCTTATCCCAACGTATGTGCCGTGTATTGATTCGTGAACTCCTTATCCCAATGCCGGTGCATTGATGCATGATCTCCTTATCCCAATGTATGTGCCCGTGTATTGATGCGTGATCTCCTTATCCCAATGTATGTGCCTGTGTATTGATGCATGATCTCCTTATCCCAACGTATGTGCCCGTGTATTGATGCATGATCTCCTTATCCCAATGCCGGTGCATTGATGCGTATTGATGCGTGATCTCCTTATCCCAATGTATGTGCCTGTGTATTGATGCATGATCTCCTTATCCCAACGTATGTGCCCGTGTATTGATGCATGATCTCCTTATCCCAATGCCGGTGCATTGATGCGTGATCTCCTTATCCCAATGTATGCGCCGTGTATTGATGCATGATCTCCTTATCCCAATGTATGTGCCCGTGTATTGATGCGTGATCTCCTTATCCCAATGCCTGTGTATTGATGCATGATCTCCTTATCCCAATGTATGTGCCCGTGTATTGATGCGTGATCTCCTTATCCCAATGTATGTGCCCGTGCATTGATGCGTGATCTCCTTATCCCAATGTATGCGCCGTGTATTGATGCATGATCTCCTTATCCCAATGTATGTGCCCGTGTATTGATGCGTGATCTCCTTACCCCAATGCCTGCGCCTCTGCATTGATATATTATGTCCCTACCTCAATGCCTGCGCCTTTGCACTCATATATGATATCCCTACCTCTATGAAATTTGTTGTTCATTGTTACAGTACGTTCACACACCTTCCCCAAACGTCTGAATGGGTGAAGTGATACGTGATCTCCCTCGCAACAGGGCATGGGGTGGTACATAAATACATTATCATACTCTATGGGGTGGTATATAAATACATTATCATACTCTATGGGGTGGTACATAAATACATTATCATACTCTATGGGGTGGTACATAAATACATTATCATACTCTATTATACCAATTCCTTTAAACCAAGGGTGATGTTAGAAGAAGACCACGTGCTCGTCTTAGACGTTAGAACATAAGTTTTCAATGGATATAGCCATAAAAGATTGCAAAGAAAATGCCACTCACGGACCTCTTGGACCTCTAGGGGTCCAATTACCACAAGTTAAAAATTCCTGGGAGAGAACAATTCCCACTTTTAATTTTTAAAAATGTGAACATACATTTTTCACATGCTGCCATCGCACCATTAACTCTTTGATTCCAAGCATTGCCCACTGGCAAGCATTGCATTCTCAGCTCGATTGTTCGATTTCTAAAATACGATAAATGATTGGCTTTTCAGCCCTATTCAGGGTCGATCCCATTTGATCTAGGCCTGCATCGCTTGGTGAATGCAGGATAATTTATGTATACATTTGGTCTACTTTTTTCTCCCATCTTTTAGACCTGTGCAATTTGATAACCCGATCACTTGTGACCAGTGATAGGGTTTGACTTATTTCGCAACGATTATTTACTGTATTATATTTATAAATATTTCATCTGATATATAACCTATTTAATATATGTTAACGTTTTTTTAACAGGGTTTTTTTTTTTTTAGCTGGACTTTAAGCATCTAATCCTGCAGATCAGGTAAGTTTGTATAGAGTTATATTTTATAACATGAACACCTACAGTGGCATTTAATTTCTATTTATGGTATAAAAAGCCTATTCATGCACCTTAAAATTAAGGCTGCAATACTTGAATAAACACAGTAGGCTGGTAAAAAACAAACTTAATGAAATTATAAAATTGGTACAACTATAACTAAGTCTCCCGTCATATATTGTGTTTTTCACACAGACTAATTGACTATGTTAGTCACTATCTTTAGTCGAATTTGTCGCGTCGTAGAATAACCATACAAACCTATTAGAGGGCGTCGGTCCAAACAACTTCGCGTCTCCCCGGAGTGGGAAAGGGGGACTTAGAGACGTTAAATATATCCACTCCAAACCCCTAGAAAGTCCGACCCGGTTGCTGCGTGAGCAGCAACCCGGCTGGCCAGGTGTTTCTTCTCTGGGGCTGCCACACTCAGCGGCCAGTCGAGTGGAGGTCGGGTGTGGCGGTCTTAGGGGCGGAACGTCCCTGGCGTGCCGCTTCGCGACCCGGTCGGAATAAAGACCACTGGGGGAGTGGTTGAGGGTCGATCTGGTTGGCGGGGTGGCGCATCGGGGGGGGGGACCATATGAGCCCCGACTCGGTGTCCGCTGATTTTCTTAAGTTAGTTAGTTAGTTAGTCACTATCTCTATGATTTAAAATGTTTTTTAAACATGTCATTCTGATAATATAAACGTACGTGTATTGACATTGTCGATAGGAAAGAAGCCCCCACATACCGGTTTCATGAGAATCAAGTTGGCTTACAAGTTGTTCTAGAGAGAAATCTAGTTTCAAATAACAATTTAGTCAAGGGATGTGTTAGCCTAATTAATTATCGCAGGAATGTACTCAAATGTCAGGTAGAAATTATTAAGAATCACTTTCCTTTGGTACCGGTGTAAAATGGTATGAATCATCCTCAGGTGTATGATGTAGGCCATATAATTCAAATTTTCTTATTTGAACTTGAAGTAAAGGCACCCCCCCCCCCTTTCATGCATTTTTACCTGCCTATCATGTTGACCACTGGGTTTTGAAATAACGGAATACATATTCTTTTTTTTTTTTTTTTTTNCACCCTCATGCATTGCTACTTGCCTATCATTCTAACCACTATGTATTGACATAAATGAATACATTTTTTGTTTAACTCTAGGTTCAAGCCTCATAATGGGGAAACTGAATATATTTGAGATTTCATTTAACAATGGAAGTGGTGTTTTTTATAGTGGTAACATTGTTCAAGGATACGTCACAGTGGAATTGACAGAGCCAATGAAAATGAGAGGTTTGTGATTTTCAAAATAAACTTTTTAAACAGGAAAAAGACAAAAAAATACCTTGCAAGCCTGTTTAATAGTTGTATTACTATTAGATCAGTGAATATATATTACATATTTACAAAAATATTGCTGTTAAATGTTTGACCACGAATAGTATCCGATGTTTATGTTTTAAAAACAAAGGTCCCTTCTTTTACTTTAGATTAGTACGTCCACCTTGGCTATGTCTAGGGTATGATTAATTTCCTAAAGAAGTATTCTATACTAATCTCACTCCACACTCACTCTAACATTCAATGACACACTAGCTCTCACTTCTAGTAATACTATAACTATACTAATAAAACAAAGGTGGTTCAGCCCACAAATAAATATTTAATTATAAAAATAAAAATAAAGAATTATCCACATTAGGCCTACACATGGTACACACTTAGATAGGATCTCGAGCTATACTGCCCAATATTAATAAAAACTATGTTCCGACTGGCTATCTCGTCCACTGTAGGCTGTCCAGATCCCAAACACACACACACATACAGCACAAGCTACAGTCTTTGGGATTGTGGCCTCCCTCTCTGGTCACTGGCCCTGCATCGTAACTGGTTTCAGGTCACTCGTCCTGCGAAGCGATAGGTGTAGACCAGTGGTTCTCAACCTTTCTAATGCCGCGACCCTTTAGTAGAGATCTTCATGTTGTGGCGACCCCCAACCACAAAATTATTTTCGTTGATACTTTACAACTGTAGAGTTTGTGTTTTCAGATGGTCTTAGGTGACCCCTGGAAAAGGGTCGTGCAACCCCCACAGGGGTCGCGACCTACAGGTTGAGAACCGCTGGTGTAGACTCTTTGATACCGGTGGCTACACACGCACACACGGCCCTCCCTCGGGTCACTGGTCACTCTGACGACTCTGTTTACCTACTAGTTCTAGGCCTAATGACACACTGGACTGAGTGGTCTATATTCTACGGTATACTATAGCGACTGTACTAAGTTCCACTGTACTGAACTCACTAAATTCGCTCACTATACTGAGACTAAAGTCAACTGTAAATGGTACTAGCTCAAGCTAACTCAAACTGTACTGGTACTAACTCAGACTCAGACTGTTACTAACTGAACTATTAGTAATAGTTTGACTATCATTTACCGAACTATCACTAATTCAACTATTGCTCACTAGTTCAAATACGACTTACTGGCTAGAAATGAGGATAACAAATGCTGCCCATAAGTGCCAGAAGACATAGGTCAACAATTAACATCACATCATATTATTATTTATAATCAATCATGCTCTAACAATAACTATAGTCCTAAAATTTTCTTAATAAAACTACAACTACAATTCTAAACTAAATACCGATACACATGGGTAGAAAAATAAACAATACTAACCCAACACAACCAGGATAAACAAACTTTAACAACTAATAATGCCAGCCAGGCTCTACTGATAGACTTCAGGTGAAAGAGGAGGATAAATGATTAAGGCCGTCAATATATACTCAAAGTTTAGCGTCTGCCCCGCTTACAAGCGTCGCATTCCAGCATAGCTTGGTGTCCTGCATAGTCATGACTCGTACTCAGATGCGTCGCTTTCAGAGTCGCGTCTGACGCTCTGGCCGGACACTGGTCATGGTCAAAGTGACCAGGTTAATTTCCATTGTTCACTGAGTCAATGTTATTAGTGTAAGGCCCAGCTAAATTGCGTAATGTCCCGTGGGGTAGCGATGGAGAGAGTGTGAGCCAGCGGGTCTCACTAAGGTGAGGACCAGCGGGTCTTAACAATTATATTTACAAAAAAATATACATTTACAAAAATATTACATTTACTAACTTTGATCTCACCTTATAATCTGTTTCAAAAGAAAGTATGCTGCTCTGTTTTAGATTTTACAGATTCTGATGAACAGATGCCAAGTTATTAATTAGTTTTCTCTTAAATTGAAGGTTCTTTAAACATTTTTATTTTGAAGGAATACGGCTGAAATTTGAAGGTAAAGCCTACGTCCATTGGAGTGAGAGCAATTCCAACGCCTCTGGTAAAAACCGCGGCACAACATCTAGGCATTTCTCGGCCACTGAAAAATACTTTGACCAAGATGTCCTTTTATTTGGAAAATGTAGGCTACTTAAGTGAGCATTGTACCGGCTTACATAATATTTGCCTGCTATTACTACAAACAGATTTGGTTTTTTTTCCATTCATAGACTCTAGTTGTTTTTTTTCCAGTTAAAACGTTATCTTATACATACACTTACACAGCTGTCTATGGAATGTATATATTACTTTTTTTTTTTTTGTTGTTTTTTTGTTCAAGCTCAGATTATTTAATATATTTTCCCCTTCATTCACTGAAACCTTTACATTATTTTAATTCGATTAATTAATACTTTTTTTCCCCTTCTTTCCATTGAATACGTTCAGTGTCCGGACAAGGCAGTGACACCAAAGAGCTGCCCGCTGGAAGGCATACATACCCTTTTCAGTTTCAGTTGCCACAAGATCTTCCTTCTTCGTTTGAGGCAGACATAGGCCATGTTAGATATACTGTTAGTGGCACAATTGACAAGCCGTGGAAATTCGATCACAAGACACAGCGGGTCTTCACCATCATCAGTATTTTTGATCTAAATCAGCAACCAAACACTATGGTAAAATCTTTTTAAATACAAGTAAACGCTATTTCTTACAGTGCATGTGTAAATAATTCAACCTGAGGTGAAATAAGTTTTACATTGGGGGCCGTCCATAAAGTACGTCACGCTCCAGAAAGGAAAGTGTATGTATGCCTTGCTTTCGTCATGCCGGAAGTATTATTATTCTATGTTGTCCGCTGCATAATTATGTCACTGTCCTTTTTATGATTTAATCACTGGGTCAAGTTTCGCTAATCTACCTCTAATCCTGTGTAAAAATATTGCATAATTGGAAGATTATCTAAAACTTGACCTCACCTATTGTAAATGAAAAAGCAGCAGATAAATTATGTGTATAATATAATTGTCTAGTCTAATTTTTGCAATTTTTGTTTTCAAATTCAATCTAGATTGAGTTACTGCTTCAATGAATAACTGTGACAACTGTTGACAATTAACTATTCTACTATTAAATTCATTTTAATATTGTGATAGTTCTTTTAAGTGGAACTTTTTATATTTTAATAATACAGTTTAATAGTGAAGTGTGTTTTAGATTAAATTTTAATAAGTTGTTAATTTTTTTTTAAGTTTTCAAAAGTGTGACGTCCTTTAAGGGGGGGGGGGGGTTCCGAGATTTGGGACAGGTCTTGTTTTATTTAGGTTGGTTTCATGACCCCCCCCCCCCTCAACCCCAATCTTTGTGACTGCCCTTAAAAATAATTTAATTTAAATAATATTCAATTTCAATATAGATCCCTGCTAAATAAGATACATTCTTATTAAAAAAATATTTCTGATTGTTATTGTAGGGGCTCATTGATGAATTTCTGGATGTAACTAGCATGTTTTGAGTGCTGAAAAAAGGATTTCATTTCTAGTTCTACGGTATTAGCTTTGTGATTAGATTTATATATTTATTAAACATGTCAATTTAAGATGATACATCATAAGTCTTTAAAGTCATTCCATACTTTTATAGTCTCGACTCCAAGAAACAAAGGAGAAACATAAGTGGTGGGGCGGTCGTAAATCAGAGGTAACTGAGGCCACGTTTCACATTGACAGAAGTGGTTATGTCCCAGGAGAAGCCGTGAAGTTGTACGCTGAAATAACTTTCAAGCCAAGCCATACATGGGTCAAATCATATGTTGTTCTAAAAATGGTAATCATTTACTTTTAAATACATTGCCGTATTTAAAAACATAAATAAATACAACCATTTTGAATGTGATGAATAGCTTTAACGGCGCAAGATTGTACCCTTGATCCTGTTAGCGCGCATGGTACAGGAATCGATGATAACATGAAGAATATTCATATTATTAAAAAAATATATATTTTTTGTTAATGTATAACTAAGACTAACAGTTTGTCCACACCAATTACTGTGCACAATTTATGGCTATGTTAAAGACATCTGTGTTGTTTTAGTTTAATAGTGTTACGAGTGTTCTACATTATATATTTTTATGTTCTTGAATAATATTTAAATGGATGAAAGCCCAATCCTGATAATTACTTTTAAAATAACTCGATTAAATAGTTTTGAAAACAACAAATGTACGTCTTCAGATAATACCGTCGTGTTGAAAAAAGAAAGAAAGTGATAAATGTTATAATAATTACCCTGGAATTAGTTTAGGATAGGAAAATCCCATGAGCCTGCTGCCAGGTGGCGAAAGGGTTTTACTGAAATAAATTTCATCCCATTCATAATAATTTTAAATAATTTCTATTTCAGTTTTGGCATCGCTGGGTGTAATTTTAACGTCCACGCTACTTTTTTACTTTATTTAGGTGACAACATTTCACGCAACAACCAAGTCGAGAACAATAGTGACTGAAGTGGCTCGGGGTGCCCATCCAAGGATTACAAATAATGGCGAAGACAACTGGACAGGAGAGGAATTAATAATTCCACCATTGCCGCCATCGTTCCTTGTGGGTTGTAAAATAATTGACATACATTATATTTTACAGGTAAGAAAAACTGAGTCGGGATTATTAGCTTTGTTCAAGTCAGAAGTTGGCAGCCCTATCGTATCAGATATCCTGTGCCCAATGTCTTGCACGTCATTCTATGTAATTCTTGTTACACATGTAAACCGTTTCTAATTGTTAATAAACAATTAATTTTTAAAAAAAATAGAAGTTTGGGGTTTTTTTTTTACCGTAAAGTCAGAAAATATTTGTTCCGTATCGGGTAGTTAAATCTTTGGGGTCCGAAATATAAATATTTGACAAAAATTTGATTTTTTTATGGTACTATTAAGTAACAGTCATATGCGAAAGTTAGAAGCAATAGGATCCAACGAAAAGGACAATATCTAGAAATATACACATAATACAGGTTAAAAATATCCCGAATCACATTTGAATTACAATAGAGATGCATGGTGACCATATCGTACCCGTTCCGTGTTATATAATTGGCAATTAAAATTATGTTCTTGTAATGTTTAGATACAAAAGAAATCCCGTGGCTGGGTTTACATTTTTTAAAACTTTTTTTTTTTGGAAAAAAAAAGCTTATCCTGACCTATAAAACCTTAACACCACATGCCATAAACGTCATGTCTCCATTCACAGCATGAGCCTATGCCCCGCCCCTCCACGTCACGACCAATCGTAGAGGATTGACTTCTCTTTTCTTTCCCTTTTTTTTTTTTGCCTGTACTTAATCTCTCACCTATTACTTATTTTCTGTCACAATTCTTTTGCTGCCCTCTTGGATATTAGTTCTCAGATAAGTGCTATTTAAAAATTGTATTCTGTTTTTTTCTGCTGTTTGTTCGCTGACAACGGGTTCCTGCTAACACGATCGTTGTTGTGTTGCGTTCCTTTTTTCTTTCAGGTTTGACCATACTTTGCTAAACTCATTTCCTTTTTTGCTAACCTGATTGCAGTCTCTCCCTTTATTAACAGGTTTTAACTTGTAGCACGTAAATCGTCTTACATTCAGAATCAGTGTGGGATCTGAGGGTTAACATACATGTCTAGAAATTACTACTGCACTGTCGCCCAAGTATGCTGTCTATCTAAGATGCACCCATAGCAGGACAGCTACTACTAAAGTGTTATTACGTGTAACAACTGTTAGTTTGATAGTTGTTGTACTGGTATCAATCAATAGCTGTGTCTTTTTAAGTTTAAAAAAAAAAAGCAATTGCAGGATGTCTAATTATTTGATACAACAGTTAAGATCATTTCCCATATGAGAATTTAGCACATGGCAGGTTAGTTACTACACATATTTTACTTATAGTTGCTGGTTGAATACTGTCGTGTCAATCGCTTATAAGCACATTGCAGTATGTGTAACCAGAACGATACAACGGTTAGTATTATGCTCACGTACACACGCATCTAATTCCATGTTAGAATTCAGTGGACTGCTGTCTCTTCAAACATTACAATATTTTTACTTTTTAACCTTGATATTCCTTTAAATATGTTTGGTTAGTCTTAAAAACTATGTACCTTTAATTTATATTCTTAGTTGAATGTTGAACCATCCGGACCTGACTTGCATCTTGAGGTACCCTTAGAGATTATTATTGGTACTATACCTCTTAGATCTGTTGTAGACAAGCATCCTCCAATGCCACCACCCAATTACAATTGTGCCAACATGTACGCATTGGAGACTACCCCTACAGCTCCTCCTGCTGAAATGTTATATCCTCTTCCACCACCAAGTGACCTGCCTAATTTGCGTAAGTAGGAGTAGTAGTAGAAGAAATTGATTTTTCGTATGGAAGATTCCCCATATGAACATTGGTATGGTTGTAAGCAGATGTTGATATGAGTTTCTTATCTACTGTATATTCTAAACTTAAGAAAAAAAAACAGTTTATAACCTATTTGGCCATTGTCCAAGTTTTTATGAATGAATTTAATTATATTTAGCTATTTCTGCTAATGAAATCGGAACAGCGGAGAGATATTTTGCCCAAATATGATGTGCCAAGTATGATGTATTTGTACTATAATGTGCACTTCTTCTGTAATATAACAAGTGAAATTTCTTGACAGTCAAAGTCAATGCACAATGAAATTTAACAAATAAATTTAACTTAAATGTGTAAATATTTACTTTTTTAATGACTAATAGTGCCCCTATTAAATGTTGTTATCTGTTTTAGCATTATATTTATATATATGTTAGTTGTTTTCTCAATTATGCAATATTTTTGACAATTATGTTTAAAAATATAATTTTTGTCATCACACATTAAAAATGAAAATTATGCCTTAAGTTACTCAAACTTCTCTATTTCAGCTCCACCCTCTTACAATGAGTGCATTAATGTTCGCTTATAAGACACATGAAGAAGGTGATAGTAAGCATACCTGAGGTAACGCAGAATATGCACCTGTTTACACTTGCTATACCTGGGGTCACAATGAAAATAAACTTCACAGACAAAAATTAAATAAATATGCATTATGCCTTCAGATAACTTGGATCATGTTAATTATCTGTGATTTATTATATTATTTTTCAATCCTTATACTGCATATTAGTTTCATACTATCTAACGTAATGGTTTTTATTTTATTTAGGCTAATTTTGTTGTTATGTCTTGATTGTGTTTACTCATTGTGTAAATTATGCATACTTTTAATATTGCTTTACTATTATTTTTATACAGTTGTTTTTTTTTAAAGTATTGGTAAAATATAAAATATTCTACACAAATCGTTGTAAAATTGATACAATCAAAAATTTTGTTTTATTTCCTGAACTAATTAAGTTACTTCTTCCAATCATTTTTTCCATTGTTCATAGCCAAAATTAAACTCAATATAATGTACTTAATTGTGTTACTTTTAGCTTTTTTACTTCTCAAACATTGTGTTCCCCTTATCATTTACATTACAAAGAGTATTTTCTATCAATTAAAGTTATGTGATGTAAATATTCGGCGTGTTTAAATGTTTAAGTTTATGATTCTTTTTGTACTGGTACACAATGTGAAAGTAAAGAAATATTTTCTACAGCTTTATTGAAGCACTTTGCTATGTATACCACCTCGCAGTTGTGCACCTGTCCTATCTAATCCATATGGGGTTTTAAATGTTTAGTCACATGAACAATACAAACGTAAAATTGAACATTAAAAATATGCTTTACAGTGTGTACTGTTGTATAGATAATGTATGTAATATAATATAAAATAATATATTTATATGGGATGCTGCGATGAGTGATGAGTGTGTTCGCCGTTCTGTATGCATTTTTACCTTGTTATTTTGATAAGAGGGCAGAAAAAGTTTGAAGACAAAACAATAATATGTACTAATTGTATATTGGTTTCAATTTTTTAAAAATATTTTAAAGTAAGTTTGTTTAACTATTTAATGTTCATGACATGATGTTTATTATCATGGTCAAAGATTTACCAAATTGTATTTTGCTCACAAATCACTCCAATGACTTACCGAGTACTTAATTTTTGAATTTCTTAATTAGAATGTGCTTTATTAATGGATGTTTTTTTTTGTATTTTTCACATTTACACAGTTATCTTAGAATGTACAGAGTTTAAAGTAGTTTTGTTTGTTTTTAAAATAAAATTTAAGCACAAACCATTTTCTCTGACAACTTAATAAAAAAAAAAAGAAGAAGAAAGAAATACCATGCTTACTTTGCTTTTCCTTTTATGTAACTTTAGAAAATACTCACCAAATGGGATAGTTGCCATAAGTCATGTCTGGGATAGTGAACAAAATTTTGTGATGAATTAATATGTAATGTAAAATTTAAATTTTGTAATGATGTAATAATGATTTATTTTTTAAATAAATAATTTTAATAATTGTTCAGTTAATATTAAATAAGATCAATGAATGGCTAGTTTATTGGTAATTTCAGGGTAAATTGTTATATGATATTAACAAAAATTGTATATTCATTTATATAAGGTACATGTTTCAGTCTCTGTTTCAAAGTTTACAAAATTTATTTTAGATATTTATTTTAACTGTTTGACAAATTTACTATTGAGCTGTTTTATTTTTATATTGATATTTCCAATGTTTACAAATTATGTTTTGATCAACAACGTAGTAGCTTGCACTGGTCTATTGGCTTGAATAAAAAAAACAAAGTGAACCAATAATATGATTTCGTTAAAATATTTATTTAGTTAATGAAATTTGTTTAATAGCAATTTCAACATAAAACCATGCCTTTCATTAAAGTAAACTTAGCCGAATGAACTGAATGTAAGCTAAATCTACTGATCTTGCCCGCCAATGATGCATCTAGATTTTCTAAAGGCTGGAAAATTTCATAAATTACCGATAATTAAAATTCTCCACTTACACAATTCGTACTGCTGATGTAGAGATCTGAAGCTTTCGATTGATCCGAGGGTGGTGTCCAGGTGGACTTGCGTTGTCTCTTGTAGGGGAACATTCCATTCTCCTGATGTAAAATAATGATGAGAGTCAGCAAGCAGTTGATAACGGTCGCTGGAAGACTGCAGAGAAATAAATGTGAGACCCTTAGTGCCTTAGGAAGAAGAGACCTCTCACCATCAGACAGAGGAAGAGCAGGAGGCATGCAATGTTTGCAGTTTTCTGGTCTGCATGGGCATGGCATTGTTGTTCTTCTTCCATATATTGAGGGCCCACGATCAATTTATTGATCTCCTATGCATGTAGAGGGGATTTGCAATGTTTCTGTGTTGATGAGGATATTTCACTGGTTGCAAGGTCTAGATTGTGAGGGTATCATGCACTGGAGGTTGAAAGGCCTGAGGCAATAGACGCATATGTGCCTAGTGTTGTCGCCTCAACTGTTCCTTTTGAAAGCTTGTTCCAGCCCCTGATTGTCTTTTGCAGGAATGAGCAGTTCCTATACTGGCTTCTCGCTGGTATGAGCCGGAACCGCCTGTTATGGCCTCGTCGCTGTCTATGTTGGGGGGGGGGAGGGACAAGTTTCTGCTTAATTCCGGAGCAGTGGACCAGCCCATTATTTATCTTGTGCATCATGGAGAGCCTGGATAGGCGTCGTCGTTCCTCCAATGGTGACCAGCCTAGTGTTTCCAGCATGCTGCAAACACTAGAGTTATTCCTTTAGAGATTCAGGACAAAGCATTCTGCCCGTTGAGTTGATGGACCGCCTCCAACCTGTCGATGCTCTTCTGGGTAAATGGCTCCCCGACTGAAGATGCATAATCTAAAAGCGGACGGAAAAAGGCTTTATAGACCCTTTCTTTCACACTGGAGTTGACAATCTTCAGATTACGCCTTAAGAACCCAAAGTCTTGTTTTTCTGGTTAATATGCATGCTCGTCCCAGCGGACCTCTCTTTGAATGGTAACACCCAGGTACTTAACGGAAGAATCTGGCTCAAGTATATGCAGTTCGTATTGATAGTGTAGAGTAGTACTACTTCTAGAGGCACTTTGCAGGATGAAATTCCATGTTCCAGCTCATCTCTCACTCGCTAACCGATTGAGATCTTGTTGTAGCTGGTCCTGGTCAGATCTGTTGGCAATCGTCCTATACACCGCCGTGTCATGTAGGAACAGTTTTGCTTGGGCTGTCAGCTTCTCGGGTATGCCATTACTGTATGCCAAGAACAAACAGGGGCCTAGCACTGATCCCTGAGGGTCTCCTGACTTAACACTGACAAAGGAGGAGCTTGTACCGTCCACCTCTACAGCTTCGCATTGGTTGCTGAGGAAGCTAAAGATCCATGTTTTGGTAGCACCTTGGATCTCATATCTCTGAAGTTTGTGCAGAAGCAAACTATGATTGACACGTCAAATGCCTTTGAGAAGTCCATCCACAGCACGTCAGTTTGCTTGCTGTCCTTCCTTTTTAATTGTTGGTTTAAGTTCCTTAAGATTATTCTCTCTGTTGGTAGACAGAGAGGGAGTATAAATCACGGTTGAGTTTGTGTATGATAAATCTAATGAGATTCTCAGTTTTCTGCATTGTTAATCGGGTCTTTTTGAAATGAAAGAAGGCTAGGATTCTACCGCCATTCTCTTCGCCGAACCGGAAACACACGACATTTTCTCTTCCCCTACTCTCATTCTTTACAGACTCGATAAAAATCCGTGAGGCCTCCTTGTGCGTATTGGCATCAACGCTTCCCCCTCCTACTTTGAGACCAAGGCATGCGGACCTAGTCGTTGCAACGCTTGCCCTTTCGTCGTCCAGACTCGACACATTCCCTTCCTGAAGGGCAGTCTTCCGATAAGGGACGGTTTCCGAACTAATAGCCGAAAATTTGTCTACGTCATTGTTTGCACCCACTGCCAAATGTCGTACATAGATGAGACAGGACGCCGACAGATGTACTGAACACCACCACAGTATTACGCAAGCTAAGCACTGTCCTCTACATACTACAAAAGAAACGACCACAAAGGAGCTGCGGATTTTACTATAAGTGCGATCGTGTCTTGCACTAACACACTCATGTCCATACTGATTGTCTTTCAGCTGCTGTGGAGAAATGTCCTTCCGTACTACTGAAACCGTACACCGTTTGTGTTGAATATGAGGGCCACGTGGCTTAATAAGGACTTTCAGAGAACGACCGTCCATAGACTTGTCTATTCTTTCCCAGACTCAACAGGCAGAGCTAGGTTAGACCAAGTCTTTTAATTTAATATTTTTTTTAAGTGGGCGGGGGAGTAGTGAAAGGCGTTCGGGAGAGCCCGCTATTTTTGGGAGGCAACTAAACTATGAGATTACAATGTTATCTTGGATCGTATTTACAAAATGTAAGCGTCGTGGGGCGTGTTCTCTCCCATCTGGGAAGGAGGGCGTGTTCTCAGTCGTCTTGGAAAGGAGGGCGTGTTCTCAGCCACCTGGGAAGGAGGGCGTGTTCTCAGCCACCTGGGAAGGAGGGCGTGTTCTCAGCCACCTGGGAAGGAGAGCGTGTTCTCAGCCATCTGGGAAGGAGGGCGTGTTCTCAGCCACCTGGCAAGGAGGGCGTGTTCTCAGCCATCTGGGAAGGAGGGCGTGTTCTCAGCCACCTGGGAAGGGCATGTTCTTCTCTCCCATATCGGTGCATTGTTTCTTTAGATAATTTCCTCCGGGGAAGGGGGGCATTTCAGATGTTCGGGTTAGCAGTGTTCATTTTAATAATCTTAGCTAAGGAGGACATAGGGGGACATAATATGTCCCCGAGCGCCAGACTAGCGGGGGATGCCAAAATTGGCTATTTATTTTATTTAATGGATGAAAGAAAATGAATCTTATCCCCTTGCACCAATTACTCTAACTACGCCACTGTCGGTGACGTAGTAAAAGGGGGGGGGGAAGAAGATGCACACGTGTCATTTTTTCTTTAGATGGAGAGGCGGCATTTTCGGACGACTGCAGATTTTGTATCTTGAAAGGGGGCGCGGTAGAAATCTTATCCTACAAGGGTAGCACTAACTAGCGGCACCAAAATTGTCGATCAGGGAAATCTATATTGTCGTTTTTATCGGAAAGTAGGGCAGAACTGGAGGGCGCCAGTGACTTTTCCCTAACCAGAAATTTTGTGATTATTTCAAAATCAAAAGGTAAATGTTGAAGTATACCTGAATTCAGTGTTTTATTAGGTTCTTTGATCAGGGGAAGGAAATTTTCAAGTTGGGTGTGTGTGTGTGGGGGGGGGGGGGAGTTATTGTGCCCAGTGCCA